ACTAGTCAACGCTTGGGAGTTTTCCAAGTTAGTTCAGATCTCCGCGTCAATTGGCCGATATGTCATCGCGGTGAGTCGTTCATATCGAGAAACAACCCTTCGCTGAATACTTCCTTTCTCCCCCTTATAGGCCGGAGATTTCAATAGCATCCCGACAACGTTGCCTATGGCAATCATCCGCGAACACGCGGGCTTGTCAGATGCATGGGTAGATTCACATGAATCAAATCCAGTGTCTTCCGCGTCTCCCGGACAGCTCAGAGCAGAAGATGCGATATCTCTTTTTGGCGTGACAGCCGATTCTCCGTTGAACTCGTATTCTGCTGGAAAGCCACTCGATGCGACCGCGCGACAACATTTTGGAAAACGTTTGGATTATATTCTCTATCGCCAACCCATTGCGGTCTTTGATACGGTTGACAAGCCGATGTTGAAGTGCAGGCAGTCACGCGTAGTGTTCACTGACAGAGTCTCGGGCCTTCCTTTTTCTTTCTCTGATCACTTCGGACTCGAAGCAACTATTGATATCGTCCGTCGTCCCGAAAATGATCGGAGTCTTTCCCAACTCCGTTCCCAGTTCTCACAATCGCAATTATCTGACGCGGTCATTGCATCCGTTATACGTGCGTTAACAGACTGTTACCGCGTATCATCCGAACGCTCGCGCTATGAACTATCGATTTTTGTAGCGTGCGTTATGTCTGTCATTGCGCTCTGTATAGGCTCTGCATGGGTTCCTCGCTCTTGGATCAACCCAATCTACCTGCTGATCACTGTTTTTATCTCATGGTTGGGCACCACGATGCTCTACGCAGGGTTTATTTATGGGAACTGGGAGCGTAGGGCGCTGACAAACGTGACAGAGGAGCTAGAGCTCGTCAGACAATCCAAGACACAGGATGGTAGTACAGACAGAACGAGCATTGAACTGGGTGCGACAGGCCTAGGACTATAACACAATGGTATCGCACCATACCCTGCTAGTACACTATACAATACTAATAGATAGCACGAGAATTTTTCTTGTCGGTTTCGCATTCCAGCTTCGCTTGAGTATCTCCTGCCAGATGCCGCGTGGAATGCTTCATATGGAGGGGAAGCTCAATTTTCACGAAGTCCCGACATGCAAGAAACGCCCTGAGTGAACCGCTTGAGAAGGGGAATGTCTGAAATACATGCACCTGAAAGAATATTACAATTGTGAAACAAAATCATCTTAATGATGAAAATACTTACCGCGTCTTCATAAAGCTCATACCTCACATGCACACCAGCCATAAAAGCCTTGTGTGCAAGCAGCGCAATTTCATCCCTCAGTACCTCTGCGTCACCCGCTTGGATGAGCAGGGGCGGGAGGCCTTGAAAATCCCCAAAAAGAGGGCTCGCATACGGATGCATGACATATTTTTCCAGGTCCTCGCCCAGAAAACAAGATATTGGATTTAAATGGTCCCCTGGTTTGGGAGGCGGAACGATATCGTAGCAAGCGTTGGTGTCCCATGAGTCGCAACTCATTGTCAGATCTATTAATAATGTCAGAAACTTTATTTGAATGAAAACATTTATAGCACCTACTCACCGACCCAAGGAGACATCAGTATAGCCCCGGCGGGCAGAGGATATTTATTATCCCGGAGATACATCAATAGGGATAATGAAAGCCCGCCACCTGCGCTGTCTCCGGCGACGATGATGTTCTCAGGCGGGATGCGTAGCTCTTCCAGCAGTCTCATGTATGCGCTCACTGCATCATGCAGTTGTCCAGGAAAACGGGCTTCGGGCGCCAGTCGATAATCAACCGCTATGAAACGTAAGATAATGAGGAAAACATTGTCATGGAATTTCTCTAGACTAGACTCACCGAACACCCGGGTATCGGTATATTTTGACAACTGTATAGTGAGCTGTCGGTGAGTCGCAGAACTGAACATGTAATATGCGCCTATTGTCGTTTCAGTGAGAAGGATTCGACATGTAATCAATCACAGGATCAGACCTCCATGCAGGTACAAAATAATACGATCCTTTCTTTTGTGAGTTGTAGTGGGACCCACGGCATGCCTGGTTTTACGAGAAGATGTCCAATCTGTCTGTAGTTTCATTCGCAGCTTCTTGCCGATCACCCATTCTCCACATAGTTCACGCATCCCGGTTTCAGCTGCATCGCTTTCCGAAAGTAGTCCTCGCAGCAAACGTCTTCGAACACGAAATGTCACCGGAGTGATGATAACATTGGAGGGGAGGGGCGCGTAGCCCGCAATACCGATGAGTCTGCGAAGCATAATCTGAAGGTCTGTGAGTGACATGACATAGTCAGATCTGAAATGGGGCATACAAGGTCTGTCAAGTGAGAGTGGTTGCCTGCATTCCTCATGAAACTCGATATCATGGTCATCTCCCAGGTCCAAGTTTTCCTTCTTGGACCCCATATGTGATGGGATAAGAAATCGGTCGTAAGTTCCACAACTTTTAAAGACAATGTTATTAGCGTTCGCACAAGACACTTTTTGAAGCACGTCACTCTACCTTTTGTTGCTACAAACGCGGCGTATTTCCAAGTATCTAGAAAACCCAGAGGCTCCCGCTGCCGCTGCCTAAGTGTCAAGTCGATCCTAGCTGATGGAGGCAGCACGTTCGCGCTCCCCGACGCGTTGAAATGACGCAGGATCTCCATGGAGAGGATTTCATGAAGAGGGAGGTTTGGGCGGCTCAGAGCTATCCTGAGGGGCTTGTAAGGCGGACGCGAGGGAGGAAAACATATGCAAGTCGAGAGACGCACAGGAGTCAATGACGTCACGCGGCACATGTCTAAAGACATCCCAAAATGTAATGCATGTAGCATCGAATACAATTGTACGTTATACAAGAGCAAGTAAGAATGCGATAGTTGTGTACACCTTCAGTAATCATCCCCTCTACTTACTACCTCCTTCACCGTTGGTCGTAAGATTATTGTGTGCTCCTAATATACGAAAATCATCCATCCATTCAAGATGAATAAAGGCAGGACTTACGAATTGAGCAGTCATCGATCCCCTTTGGTCACACAATGGGGGGTAAGCCTGGACCACTCCTTGTGCGACTAAGTGGTTAAGCTAAAAAAATGAAAAAGTGAGAACGGAACACGAAACGGAGAAAATTGATTATCTCACCGCTAGTAGATATTTGCTTTCGCCAGCTCTATCCAAGTATCGACGACAGAAAGGTAGAGTACCAAAGTGTTTATTGATAGATTTCAACAAAGATTTTGCGGATGTCAATCTAGAACATAATAAGCTTCTGACCCGAATATTGACAGACTTTTCACACACCGTAGTGGCACATGGGGGGCGTCAAACATCTTCGCGTAATGTGAACAGTCGCCCTGCACAAAAAAGTCAATTACAGAACCGAAGCCGAACTCGATACAATCGATCAACTAACACTTTCGACGACGTGTCCGCGCCCTGTAGAACCAAAGGTTTCAATGGCAAAATATTCACCTTCCTCCATCTTTGTCTGATCGTCATTCTTCACAAGAAGGACGGACTTGCCCCCGTGAATCTGGTAACGATTAATTGAATGGCCGCTAAGATTCCCAATAGCCTTCACTGTAGGGAACAACTTAACAATCGATAGGCAAGCGACGAAAGTGACTTCGAACCTTGCTGACTCTTTCCGTTGATTTCCACCTCATACGATTCCATGGTTTCTTGGATTGCTGCGCCAACTTCTCCCAACCGTACATCGATTCCAGCTTCCTAGAGTCTGTTAGACACACAGTGGAAGGGAGTGCGAGGTGATTGCCTACACGTATTCCAGTATTTGTGGCATCTTTGACTGCCTCCAGGAGTTTGTTATACGTGGGCTCCCAAGTAAGCGTGAAAGCCGAATCGAGTATGCGGCCGTTGACATGAACGCCGAAATCGACCTTTAATACGTCGCCCTTCTGAAGAACTGACATTACCAGTCAACGTTGTTTTTCATATTTCAGGGTGAAAATAAAGCACCTGTTGTGTCCCCAGCATTTGGCGTGTAATGCGCAGCGCAGTTGTTTAGACTGACGCCAGTAGGGAAGCCGATGCCAGACGAAAGCCCATTTTCTTCTACTAACGCTCGCGTTCCGTCCTCAATATTTTCGACAATTTCCGTCATTGACATCCCAGGCATTATGTACCTCCGAGCATGTCTTCGAACTTGCCTGTGAACCTCCGCTGCACGTCGGATGTCCTGGAATGTGAGTTCTGGATCCTCCATTGCTGTACGCTCATCATATCTCTTCTCCTCTGAGGTCTTCCGCCAGTTGTTGCTTTTTAAAAAGACCGTTCATTAAAATCAAAAATTTCAAAATATTGTAAGGATGGTGGTAAACGTACTCGTCTTTGTATTCCTGTATTTCACCTTCGGGATAAATACCGTCTGTGAACAGCTTTGACAATCCCACACGGGGTGGATCACTTTGTTCAACCTTTTTCTTCTTAGATTTTTTCTTTTTCTTCTTTTTCTTTGACTCTTTAAAAAGTACCAAGGTAAGTTGGCACCGCATTAATTTCGACCACGAAATAAAGACAGTATTTAACTTGCCTAGCCCTCCTGCTGCTTCAGTGGCGCCATCATCCTCTATTTCCTCTGTTTCATCTTCGACATCAACAGCGGGAGAAGCACCTCGAAAATCTTCCGTTGCATCCTGAGACTTTGCACCGACAGCCATCGATTTTTCAAGCAGAGAGTGTTGGGTCACCACCAGCTTATCGAATGCTCGAGGACGGATTGTAAATCTGTCGGAAACTGCCGACATGATCGGCCGCCGATATTGAAATTAAGTATGATCCGAGGTAATTAGAAAGAGCCGAGATCTTACTAGTTCCCGAGCAGTAATCGTGTTAATATGAGTTGTAATTTACAATTCAATGTGAATAGCAATTCTCTCTGGCGGATGCAAGGATTTCCTAGCTGGACTCAGATGTCCTTTTTCTCAGTGTCAAATCATTATATTATAAATGATTACACTTTCATGAATTGCTTCGATAACTCAGTTGGTAGAGTGCAGGTCTCATACGAAAGTTTGATCCTCTAATTGGAGGAGTGAACCTGAGACATCCTGAAGCCGCAAGTTCGAAACTTGCTCGGAGCAAATTGGCTTTTTGACGATTTATCTAGCAGGTTATTCTTCGGCACGAGTATGTACAGTCATGGACCGGTCCTTGAGACACCACATCTTGATCGTGTACCCTGACCGTCCCTGGTTCGATTTCGTCAAGAGAAAAAATATGATAATTTTGTTTGTTTACTCAGCGACATTCACGCAAATTTTTAAGACAACCAGTTGAGAAATGAGCGAGATAATAAATAATTGATTCTGAGGCAGGAATTTGGTGTTCACCACTCTTTGAGACACCTTTTTTCTCACGATCAATTTCAACGTTTTTTCCTCGTATTACACATCACAACCGGAAGATTTTTTTGCTATATCCAAGAGGACTAGTGAAGTTTTCGATCAACTGAAAAAATGAACCATTTCGGCCGAGAAATGAATTGGAGAGCTCGAAATCAAGTTCGAACGGACCGTAAGCGCATAAGCGTCACGTGACTGCGTTTAGTCACTCAACAGAGGTTTTGCGACAAAATGTTTTATGCAGTCAGTTCTTGCTCGTTTTTCCTGAATCTTTTTGCGCACTTTAATTTAAAATGCAGAAAGGAGTGCTCCTGAAATTTTTTAAAGATTTTAGTTGGTCCAAATAAGAGCTCCGGGAAGCGAACAAGTTTGGCTGTTTTGGTCAAAAAGGTGCATTTTTCCTATATCTGACGAAGTACACGAGCAATTTTTCTATAACTTCAGGAACACTCAGTTCAATCATGTATTGACCCATTAAAACACCCAAGATGGTCCCGAGCTGTTGTGGAAGGAAAATATAAAGGGTGTCTCAAGGACCGGGGCTGTCTCAAGGACCGGTCCATGACTGTAGTCATTTTATAACCCTCTGCATAGATAGTTGCGGGTCAGATTGAAATATAATGAAATGAGCTCACATTATAATTTGAACTTCTGCCAGCCAAGTCAGAATAATTTTGACGGTCGTTACTGGACAAAATAGTGGACTTAGACTTGAGATAGTGATGATCATCGATGATCATCGATGATCACTAGTGATCACTGGTGATCACTGGTGAAAACCAAGTCTAAGAGCTATTCATCGATGATCACTAGCGATCACTAGTGATCGTCGATGAATGGGCACTTGGTTTTCATCGTTCACTAGTGATCACTAGTGATCATTGATGAATGGGGACTTGGGTTCATTGTTCATCAGTGATCATCAATGAACGTCGTGCTTCGACTTGAGTGTTCACCAGTCATTGATGAACCATGAAATTCTATCTATTCAAGTCTAATAAAAAGCCTCATAAATGAGCAATGATCGGTGAATGGACTTGACTGGTGTTCACCATTCACTGATGAGTGGTGAATGCCTCAAATCCGAGATCATCCGACAAAAAGACTATAATTTAATAATTAGTAGTAACACAGCCGCAAACTGTGATCGACATTCTGCTTCGTCCTGTTACGCGATATCGGGCGGACACTCGCCCTCGTTCCCACGCTCTCGTCCAACCCAGCTCCTGAGGTTTCGAAACAATCTCCCCGTCTCGTCTGCACAGTCCATCATGTCCGGACGCAGCTTTGGAAGCAGGCGCATAACGCTGCGCATGCGTCGACTACGACAGCCTAAGTTTGTCCGACACCTCGTCGCTCGTGAGCTTGGACGAATACAAGAACTGCAATAGCAGCGGCTCTTCGCTGTTTCTTTCGTTCAGATCGGCGGCGCACACCGAGCCGGAGGATGATAGCGTCACTGTTAGCTCGAGGGACACCAGGTTACTCGTGCAAAAAACGAAGACAGTCATGAACGGCGGGAGCGGGTCGACAATGCAGGACTTCCACACCTTGTACGGCTTGGAGTCTGAGTCTCATGCAAGCGCGTTCGATGGTACGTCCTTGGTGTCCAAATCTCTGTTTCGTTTTCTGCTTTGTTTTGTTCTGTTCTAACATGTAGAAAAAAGAGCGGTACCCCGCGGATCCTTCTGCAGTTTTCGAGCGGCTGAAGTTGTCGAATCCTCCAAGTCCATCGAGCGAAATACACAATGGCTGCGCGACCAGACATTGCGCACTATCAACGGCATCATGACGCCCGAGTCTGTCGTCTCCGATGGCTCCTCGCTCGCGCTGAGCGGCGACGATCTCGATTCGCAGAGCCCGTTTGACGGCGACCTCGCACTTCAGTAGGACAACGGCCGCTATTACTATACATACACCTCTGGGAGCTCGTCGTCCGCCGCGTCCGCGTCAGCCGCTCACGACGACGTCAGCATCGGCGAGCACGGCAGCCACCGCGTCGCGGACTGGCGCGATCCGAAGTTACACTGGCTTGCTTCTCAGGCCCAGTCCAAGTCTGGCTCGTCCGACGACTACCCCTCCCCCTCCTCGTCGTCGAATCGCCAATCCGCGTCCTCGTTGACCTCCGACCCTCTTCCACGCACCGCGGACACCCCACCCGAGGTCCGGCAGCTCGTGCCGCCCGCATGCACGGACTGCTCCGCGTGCGGCGTCCTGCTCGACGCATTCTTCTACGTGTGCTCGACGTGCGGGGAGCGCACGCCACGCTCGCGTGCGAGCGCCGGGGCGAACGGGCATGCGAACGGCTATACGGACGGAAAGGGCAAGGCGCGCGCCGACGTGTCGATGTTCGACCCGCTCGCGTACCCGCCGCGCGCACACACGAACGGTAAGCCGTTTCCCGCGCGCCCGCGCGCGCTGCCCATGCTCCCCTCCGCACCCTCCGCGCCCTCCGCGTCGTCCGTGTCGTCGTCGTCGACGGTCGCGGGCGACGGCGGGTACGAGCTGTGCCCGGGCTGCTTTGAGACGGCCGGCGTGCTGCATGCGCTGGCGGGCGGAGCAGCGCCCGACGAGCCGACCTCCGCCTCGCCGGAGGACCAGCGCACGCTGAGCCAGCTGCGGCGTGCGGCGCCGAGGCAGAAAGGCCACTTCCGCCATGCGTACCTCGAGAAGCTTTGGAGCGCATCGGGGTGGAAAGACGTCGGTGCGTGACTCGTCTCTTTTTGATCTCAATATTAGCGGATGCTGAGTAGTCCGGATAATGCAGAGCAAGACAACATAAGCGGGTGTACGATCTGCAACACCTCTCTGACAGCGCAGCGCTACAAATGCGCATCGTGCAAGAACTTCGTACTCTGCCGCGCATGCTACAGGTCCGTGTCACCGCCAATCATGATGTCCCTCTGTACTTGAACTTGTCTTTTTTTCTAGCCAAGTTCACGAAAACCATCCTTCACACGCTTTCCTCGATGTTCCCGACCGGCCACTCCGTTCTCGAAGCGAGCCTGACCTGGAGCTGACAAATAACCTGAATGATGACGGGCTCGGGGACGAATGTAAGCCATTCGTATCTCTAAATGAAAGAAATATTGACAATCCTGGACTGAGACAGCGCTAACGCATCCAGATGTTAAGTGTGCCCAGTAAGTTTGCTGCTAATTTTCTTTAAAGCAAGGCTGACAAAATCTGTCAGTTGTCTTATGGACATAGTAGGCGCTTGCTTCCATTGCGCAATTTGCGAGTCGGTGGATATATGTTCGAACTGCGAAGCTGCTGGCTTGCCTGGAAACCTAGATGCTGATGATGGTGGTCACAATACCTCCCACATTATGATCAAGGTAAATCCCTTCGACAGATAAAAACACAGTTCTGACCAAACTGACCAACTCATCTTACCGAAGATCCCCATCCCCTTAAATTCGAGCAAAGTGCAGACAGCGAGCAGACGCGCGCGGCAGCTATGGACCGGCCGTGACTTGTTGTACGTACAGCGCACACCCAGCGGACGCGTGCGCGCGGACTCGCTTCGGGAGGCCGACACAGTCACCATCATTGGGTCCGGCTCAAAACATGCACGCGGCAGCCGCTGTGACCGCAAGGCGCTCGACCACCGCATCGCGTGCAAGGGGTGCAATCAGAGCATCGTCGGCGTGCGCTTCCAATGTGCGACGTTCCCTGCGACAAAGACCCAGTCGTATAGCTTGGTGCGTTCTCCCGATATTTGCAGAATGATGCGGGGCTTGACTGGAGTTGTTCTTCGCACTGCTCCCGTTCAGTGCACCAACTGCGAGCAGCGATCGTATCTCCTTCACGACCCAATGCATATTTTCTTTAAACTACCGCGGCCCGTGGACCGTCCAATTGAGTCCCAATTCGCCATTCTGCCAATCCTGTACGTCCCCATCGCATTTCCTTCAGATATCGTGTTTCGTAAACTAATGTTTGTTCGCGGATGTTAGGTACAGGCAGCCCGCAGGTCCAGCAGGTCGACTCAACTCCTCTCATCCCAAAGGTCCGTACGCCCTTCCGTGTCCGGAAAACATGTCCTCTTTTTCTGACGCAGTTTCATCTGCTGTTCCAGCTTATCTCGCGACGCTCTACCACAACGCGGCGCTGTGTGATCACTGCATGGATCGCATCAAAGGCGTGTGGTTCCGTTGTGTGTACTGCGTGAAGGATCTCTGCGATGTGTGCGAAAACTTGAATTCGCACGCGCACGATCGCACCCATTTCTTCTATGTATTCAAGGCGCCGGTGAATACTTTGTGCTCTCGTGCTTAAGGTTTTTGTGTCTCTTATTATTACAACTCGCTTTACTCTATTTTAGGTGGATATGCAGATCTTCAGGCGAGAATAAATGTCTCTGTGTCACGTTTTACCTGACCGTTCGTTGCTTCGCAGGATCGTCGCAGAGCTGGATAATCTGGAAGGGAGCCCGCCGGTGCTGAACTATCCTGTGTATTACTCGTAATGTCACTTCTGTTCGCTATCATTTTATTGCCAATTAGCATCACACGTATTTTGCCTTCCTGTACTTCCAGTGCTTGTTGTATATGCGGCGGATGCATTTCAATCTTCTTGGATGATTTATGAGTTGGCTTAGCGTGCAAAAAAGTGTAATCAAGACATAGTAACGTGTTGAGGGGGTGCTCTAATTTATGTTTGTTTGGAAAAGAAAACTAGATAATGGATTGTTCAAGAGTGTGGCTTGAATGGAGCTCCGGGATCTACCCTATGAC